CCGCCCCACCGGTCCCCCGGAGCCCCCGGCCCGCCCCCAGTGGGGGGGGGGGCCCAAACCAGCCCTGCACCCCTCTGCACCTCCCTGCCTGGCTGCCCCCAACGCCCCTGCCCGGGGGTGGGCACAGCCAGAGGGGCCCCAATGCACAGAGGGGCTCAGGCAGTGGCAGGGCGCACAGGGGGACGTGCGGGGTCAGACCTGCCCCCGCCTCCCCGTCCCTCCCCATTGCCCTTCCCGAGCTGCCCTGAGAACCCCCGTGGGGGTCCCGGCTCAGGGCACAGGTGAGCCCTGGGGAGGTAACAGCAAGCCCCGGCACTCACCGGCAGCGGCGGTGGGCACGGCAGGGGCCAGCGTGCCGCAGCCCCGAGCAGGCTGCTGTCACCCTCAGCCGCTCGCTTGCGTGCACAACTTCCTGGGTGCAACCCAGGGCCCGTCCCAGCGTTGGCCACGGGCGGCAGGAGCCAGCCCTAGCACCCACAGCACCGCGCCACGGCCACGCCGAGCCACGGCTGTGCTCTCTGCAAGCCCATGTGTGCCAGTGTGTCGGCCCCGGCCCCCCGGGGTCTGGACCCCGATGGGGTCCCCACGCAGCAGCCACCCTGGCACACAGTGCATTCGCCTGACGCGCTATGACGGGTGAGCGGCCTGGGGGACGCTGGCTGTCCCTGTCCCCGTCCCCTGCCCGCGGGGACATGCTGCCTTCTGACCTGGAAAGTGTCTGCAGGGGGCCGGCCAGGCGTGGGGACAGCTGGGGACCGTCCCAGCACCAGCACAGACCCTCCCGCCTCCTCCCCGGGGGCGGCTTTCTGCACTCCTCTGCAGGGAGCCCAGCGCAGGGGCAACCTGGGGACAGAGGCAGCAGTGCAGGGCACCCACAGCCTCACTGGGCAAGGACGGGGACAGGCAGGGCTGGCACAGGAGCCGTGCTTACAGCCCCCAAGGGAAGCAGGACCCCACAGCCCCGCAGCCCAGCTGGTGCCAGGGACCGGGGCAGCAGGGAGCACCAGCTGCCAGCCAGGTGCCCGTGCAGCAGCACCCCTCGGGTCCAGCACCACCCAGACCCCGCGCCCCACGGCAGCACCCTGCCGATGGCCGGCCCCGCTGCCCTCATACCCTGTGCCTGGCGCAGGGAGGGCTCCCTGGCTTGGCACAGGGGTGCAAACGTGCCCCCTCGGGCAAGGCAAAGCAGGGACGTGTCCTCGTGTCGGGCGCTGGAGCTCAGCTCGGTGCCAGAGGCTCAGCCCCGGGGCCAAGCCATGGAGGGGATGGCTGTTGGGGCGCAGGGACGAGGACAGCCGGCCCCCAGCACAGCGACCCGCGGCCGGCGTGGGCTCCCCTCCCCTGCCTGGCCATCAAGGACGGCCCGGCCGGCTACAACCTGCTGCTCCGCATTTCTGCGGCCGCTGAGCTGCCTGCCCTGGCACGGCCGCGCTGAGCCGGGCTGCGCCAAGCCCAGCCGAGCCGAGCTGAGCCACCCTCCAAACAGCCCCGAAAACACAACTTCATCCCGTGCCCCAGGCCCGGCCGGAGCGTGGGGATCCAAGTGCCAGGGCTGACAGCCCCGCTCCTGCCAGGTGATGCCCAGCCGCGACCCCAGCTCCTCTCCCTCCTGGTGTGGGCAGCCCACCCGGCTCACTGGGCACACCGGACCACCTCCTGCCTGGAGGCAGCCGCTCCAGAGAGCCGTTGCAGGAGATGTGCCGTTGTGCCTCCCGCTCACTGGGTGACCAAGCCCCACGCTGCCAGCACAGGACCGGCACCACCTCTGCTGCCTACCTGGATCGGCCCTGCGACGTGGGAGCCTCCTCAGCACAGCTCAGCTGCCAGGCTGCTTCTCCCCACGCTCGTCCTGGGGGTGTCCTGGTGTCCCTGTGCCTCCTCCTCCCCAGCCACGTCTTCCCCTTCTCCTCGCGGGACGGCGGCTGGCAGGGCGCTGGAGCGGCTCCGCACCGCGGCTGCTCCCACTGAGTCAGCGCCAGGCGAGGACGCCCTCCGAGGCGGCTCAGCGCTCACATGGGATTAAAACCACAGGGCATTCCTCCATGCCAGGCTGCGTCACGCAGCGTGACGGTAGCCGGTGATGTCCCAGCGCCAGTGCCGGTTCAGTCCATGGTGCCGGCTGGGCAGCGCGGATGCACGGCCTGAGGTGCTCACACCGCCAAAGACAAAATGCCTCTGGACGTCCCCTGCCCGCTGCAGGCAGAGGGCCCTGATGCCCTGCCGGGGCTTCAGGGCGAAGGGAAAAGTCACAGCCCTCCTGCAGGCAGGGAGCTGCCGCCAGCACGGCCAGCCGGCAAGGCCTGCTCCGATTTGGGAAACTCGCCTTGTTTCCCCCTACGCCTGGCAGCAACCCTCTGCAATAAACTCCAAAATGCAGCAAAATGACCCAGATAGCACGAAGGGAGGTGACAGACCATCGCAGGGTCACCAAGCCCCCAGCCATGGGGACCTACTGGCCTGAACAGGCAGCTCCTGCCCCATGGTACGGGCATCTCCCGCGGCGAGGACCAGCTCTGCATGGAAGGGCCGAGCATTTGGCCCACGCAGCACGGAGCTCTCTTACAGCCCTGCCTTGTTCAAACCACTCTTGGAAGCAAGACGAGGAGCTGGCGGAGGGAGAAGAGCCAAGCAAAGCACATGGAAAACGGCCAGAGGACTGCCCCGCGCTTGGGCAACGGCAAAGGTGGATCCGCACAACGAGCTCGGCTGGAAAAACACTGCCTGGCGCGGCGGGTGAGGGCAGAGCCTGCAGGCACCCGCCCGGCCGGGCTGCGTACCCCTGCGGCCACCGGGCCTGCGCGGGGGGCAGGCAGCCGGCTGCAGGCAGCTGGCCGGGGGCGTCCGGGCAGGCCGCTGCTC